GGAGAATGGAGGAGAAGGGATTGCGGCATGACCATCCCCCCTGGGGGGAGATTTCTCTCTTTCTGTCTCTATGTCTCTCTCTGTCTGTCTGGCGAGCGCACGTGCCCTATAGTGAAAATCTCTCAAAAAAAAAAAAAAAAGAAAGAAACTATTGCGGGGACCAGCAGATAGCATAATGGTTATGTCGCTGGACTCCCATGTAGTCAACCGTGGTTTCAATCATGGACCTGGCAGCTTAAACTCACATTGGGTACTTATGCATGTGTGCCCAAAATCCTGAGAGGAAAATGGAGAAGGGATTGCAGTGTGGCCATCCCCCTTGGGGGGTGATTTCTCACTTTCTTTCTCTCTGTCTCTCTCTAGTGAGCACACATACCCTATAGTTAAAAAAATAAATCTTAAAAAGCAGCAACTATTGCCTATTTCAAAGTTCATGAAAATGCTACACGAATGTTTCCCACCAAAAACTTATACCATTTTTTAGTTTTCACACTTAAATCTACATCTGTCTGAGATAAAATTTTTCCATAGTGTGACATGTGGATCTACAAACAAATTTCAGATATACAATCCACCCAGCATCATTTATTCAAGACTATCCCTTTTCCCGCTGCACTGCAGAGTTACATTCGTCATCAATCTGGTAACCATACATATGCCAGTCTGCTTCTATAATCTCGACCCCATCTCACTTATTTTTTTTTTGTCCATTCTTGCCTCAATTACACAATGTTTTAATTATCTTAGATTTATCCTAAGTGTTGATACCAGGTAATTATAAAATTTTTAATTATCCTTCTTTTCTCCTCTTGCTTTCTGAAAGCCCAATGGAAAATTAGGATGATACCAGCTACAAACCTCCAAAGACCATCTCTAATTTAAAATAATCATATCTAATTAAAAGGCCATCTTTAATTAAAAAGTCTTGAATAGGATTCATTCCTCTTATCACATAGTTGTTACCTACATCATCCCTGAAAGAACTGTAGTGTGCTGTGGGATCTATATCCTTTCTCCTGAAAGGCTGGTGCTTGCAAGCAAGCTGTACGACCTAAACACAATTATTGGAATACTGAGAGCTTGAGAAATAGCATGCACTTTTCTACCTCTCAGATTATAATACTGTCCCAGGAAGCCCTACTTTGTATTTGGACCGGATGGCACTAACTACGTGTGTGATGCCTGTATCTTCATTGCATGACAATGTTTTTAAAAATTTCTTCTCCCCTTTTCTCCTTCTGAAACTCCTATTGTAACCAAGCCATAAGAGAATTGAAGTGACTGAATACTGTACTTTGTCTTGGAAATCCATCTTAATAGATTAATCTTTAGAAAAATCAGTCATTAACTTCTTCACTTGCTCATAATAAACTTAACATTTCACCTTCCTGACAATGGATCTAGATTAATGCTTAACTAATGAAAGTTAATACTCATCTGGCTGGCCCCCATCTCTCTCTCTCTCTCTCTCTCTCTCTCTCTTTTCTCTCTCCTTCCCTGGTTCCCTGCTTCCATCCCTCCTTCACCAAACACTGGCCACTGGCAGCATTAGAGTTGCGGGGGAGACTACTGTAGTGACTGAATGTAAGGCCCCCACCCCTGCCACAGCCAGTAGAAGAGGAGGGGACACTTCCTGTCTTTTCCTGTTCCTTTCCCCCAGTTATAGTGACTTTGAATTTAGGGACCCATGAGCCCGGAGAGGCCTTAATCCTGTGAGGAAGTGTAGGGGAGCCCTCTCCCACGCCCATCTCCTTCTGAGAGTGGTCAATGTTTACAAGCCCCTGAGTCCCCAGCCCAGAGACTCAGACCTGTTTGCTGTCCTTTCCCAGCTCCTGTCCTCCTGTGCCCTTACTCTCCATCCCATTTAGGGTTGGAATGCGTGCAGGGACCAGTCTGTGTTCCCGTATCTACCTTATACCCACATTCTCCCCTCTTCCACTTCCACCCCATGTGAATATCCTTTCTTTTACCTGCCCCTGTAAATACTTCTTCTCCCAATAAAACTTGGTCTGTGTTCTCCCACAATTACACAATGTTTTAATTATCTTAGATTTATCCTAAGTGTTGATACCAGGTAATTATAAAATTTTTAATTATCCTTCTTTTCTCCTCTTGCTTTCTGAAAGCCCAATGGAAAATTAGGATGATACCAGCTACAAACCTCCAAAGACCATCTCTAATTTAAAATAATCATATCTAATTAAAAGGCCATCTTTAATTAAAAAGTCTTGAATAGGATTCATTCCTCTTATCACATAGTTGTTACCTACATCATCCCTGAAAGAACTGTAGTGTGCTGTGGGATCTATATCCTTTCTCCTGAAAGGCTGGTGCTTGCAAGCAAGCTGTACGACCTAAACACAATTATTGGAATACTGAGAGCTTGAGAAATAGCATGCACTTTTCTACCTCTCAGATTATAATACTGTCCCAGGAAGCCCTACTTTGTATTTGGACCGGATGGCACTAACTACGTGTGTGATGCCTGTATCTTCATTGCATGACAATGTTTTTAAAAATTTCTTCTCCCCTTTTCTCCTTCTGAAACTCCTATTGTAACCAAGCCATAAGAGAATTGAAGTGACTGAATACTGTACTTTGTCTTGGAAATCCATCTTAATAGATTAATCTTTAGAAAAATCAGTCATTAACTTCTTCACTTGCTCATAATAAACTTAACATTTCACCTTCCTGACAATGGATCTAGATTAATGCTTAACTAATGAAAGTTAATACTCATCTGGCTGGCCCCCATCTCTCTCTCTCTCTCTCTCTCTCTCTCTCTTTTCTCTCTCCTTCCCTGGTTCCCTGCTTCCATCCCTCCTTCACCAAACCCTGGCCACTGGCAGCATTAGAGTTGCGGGGGAGACTACTGTAGTGACTGAATGTAAGGCCCCCACCCCTGCCACAGCCAGTAGAAGAGGAGGGGACACTTCCTGTCTTTTCCTGTTCCTTTCCCCCAGTTATAGTGACTTTGAATTTAGGGACCCATGAGCCCGGAGAGGCCTTAATCCTGTGAGGAAGTGTAGGGGAGCCCTCTCCCACGCCCATCTCCTTCTGAGAGTGGTCAATGTTTACAAGCCCCTGAGTCCCCAGCCCAGAGACTCAGACCTGTTTGCTGTCCTTTCCCAGCTCCTGTCCTCCTGTGCCCTTACTCTCCATCCCATTTAGGGTTGGAATGCGTGCAGGGACCAGTCTGTGTTCCCGTATCTACCTTATACCCACATTCTCCCCTCTTCCACTTCCACCCCATGTGAATATCCTTTCTTTTACCTGCCCCTGTAAATACTTCTTCTCCCAATAAAACTTGGTCTGTGTTCTCCCAAAATAAATAAATAAATAAATAAAATAATGATCTTGCCAAATCTTTACAGATATTGGGCTATGGAGACAAAGAGGAGAAACATGCCACTAGCTCCTTCCTACATGAATAGCTGCGATTTTATCAGCCTAAACACTACAAAGCCCCCCTTAGACCCTGATTGTTTCTCCTTACTTTTCTTTTTTCTTTAAAAATCCCTGTGAGGACCTGTAATTTCAGAGATGTGCATGGAATACTAGTCTTCTTCCAGGTTGCGGGTTGCTGGATTCTTGAATAAAGCATCTTTCCTTTCTGGCAATGCCTGTGTATGGAATACTAGCTTTTGGGCAACAAACAGTTTAATCTGGTTTGGAACTAGGTTCCAGTTACATTATTAAGATACATATAGAACTTTTCACTCCGTCCTCACTATCTTTAACTTTTTATATTTTGCATCCCCATCATTTATTTCTTTAATTCTCCTGTACTCTGGATTGTTTATCTTTCATCTGGGTTGTTTATCTGATTCATTAAACTAACTTTATCTCTCCAACTATATCTAATCAGCTATTTCAGGCACTGCTAAATTTCTAATGTTTTCATTTCTAGAAGTTTCCTTTGACTATTTTTCTAAACTACCATATCTTTTCTTTAAATTATATTTGGGAATAATTTTGATTTAGAAAAACAAAAAAATCGCACACACCAAAAAAAAACAAACATAGTGATCCTGTGTACTCTTTACCTGTGGTCCCCAAATGTTAGCATCTTACATAAATATATACAAAAAAATTAACAATGGTACCATACTATTAACTGAACTACAGTTTTTATTAGAGTTCACCAGTTCTCCTACAAATGTCTTTTTTTTCTATTCCACTACCCAATGCAGGTTACTACAATGATTTTAGTTGTCATGTCTAATTAGACTCCTATAATCAGCCACAATTTTTTATCCTTTTATTCTTTTTCTTAATTTTTTACTCTTCTGAAGAGTATTGGCCAAGGATTTTTTAGAATGGCCCAAGTCTGGGTTAGTCTAATATTATCTCATGACTAGAGTGAGGTTTTATATATAGGTTTTTGAGACGAATACCACAGAAGTAAAGAGACCTTCCTACCCCCATCATATCAGCGAGTATATGATATTGGCATGGCTTATTATCATTTAATTTGGTTAACATTAATTATTTGGTTAAGTTTCTTTCTACACAGTTCTTTCATTGTAAAGCTTCAATTTTTCCCTTTCCATAATCTATTCATTAGAAGCTAGTTATTAAATGTCACTCACATTCATTCTCTCACTTCTAGTGAAGAACATTATCATATTTAGTATGAAGTTTGACTAGATACTCTGAGTTGCCCAAAAATTCTAAAATATTACAATATTATACACAACAAAAGATGGTCATCTTATTACAAAGTAGAAAATTTGCATAAATCCAAAATTTTTCCTAACAGTTCATATGAAACAAAATCTAATAATTACATTCCATGAATATAATTGTTATTAATGGAGAATACTATCTATACCACAGTGATGGATATAATCTAGGGAATTTTTTTTCTTTTTAATCTTTGAAATTTCAGACTCCATTTCTTTTTTGTTTTCTAAATCTTTATTACAAAGAAGGAAAAAAAATCCTTCTTGGTTCACTCAAACAGGAAATAAAAGTGTTTTCATCACATTTCTTATTACCTGGACATTGAATAAAGGACCATTCATAATTCTTTTCTTTGGGACAAAGATTGCTGTCAAGAACCATCTCATTGTGCATTCCAATAAGCTTCATCGGTCCTCGTGAAGATCCTTCAATGCAGTGTCCTCTTCCTGTATTGCTTGGGTCATTGCACCAGCCACACCCAGGCTGTTCCAAACACTGTCCACAGGTTCTCAATCCAGAACAATTTTGAGCTGCATGACAATAATATTAACAAGTATGTTATGTGATTTTTTATTTAAACACAATTATAGGTTAATGGAAAAAATATATAGTTATGAAAAATAGACTAAAAAAGTCAGCTATAGTTAAACATTTTTTCAGTAATAGCTAAGTGGCAGCAGTTATTTAAAGCAAATAAAAAAATACATCACGAACAAAGAAGAGATAAATGGATTGACTCAGGAGTGAAAAAAAAAAATGTGTAGTTAGCATGACATGTAGAAAAAATGAAATCAGGGGGCCAGCAGTTAGTGCAATGGCTATGTCACTGAACTCCCATGTAGTCAACCACAGTTCGAATCCCAGACCTGGTGCCTTAAACTCATGCTGGGCGTGTGTGCGTGCATGCCCAAGATCCCAAGAGGAGAATGGAGGAGAAGGGATTGTGGCGTGGCCATCCCTCCTAGGGGGTAATTTCTTGCTTTCTGTCTCTCTTTCTGGTGAGCGCACATAACCTATAAAACCTCTCCAAAAACCTCTCCAAAAAAAAGATATCAGAACTTGAAGATTCCTGAGAACTCTGCTAGTACTAGGACTTCTGGGGAGCTAAGTCAAGAGTCTACGGACCATTGTCTGAGATGCAGAGCCCCGTTAGCCATTCTAATTGTGCCTAGTCAGATTCTTTAAAAACTCTATACTCTGGGGCCATTGGATGGCATAATGGCTATGTCGCTGGACTCCCATGTAGATGACTGCAGTTCGAGTCCTGGACTCTGTGGCTTAAACTCATGCCAGGCACAAGTGCGTGTGTGCCCATGAACTAGAAAGGAGAATGAAGGAGAAGGGACTGCAGCATGGCCATCTCCCCTGGGGGGGTGATTTCTCCCTTTTCATCTCTCTGACTCTGTCTTTCTGGTGAGCACATGCCCTATAGTAAAAGAACTCTCCAAAAAAAAACCTCTATACTTTGCCCATGAATATTCAAAATATGTGTTGTCTACACATTCCTTATTATTGCTGAGCCTAATGTGGACTACCTCTCATGAACGATGCTCTTTCCAATAATCCAAGATATTAATATTTGGTCATCACATGATGATTTAACTCAATCTCACCTAAAAGGCCAAGTTAAGTGGGAATGCAGGAACTTGAAACTTTGCTTCAGTCAAGCAACTAGGAATTCACATTCTAATTTACAAGACTGTGGAACATCATTCCAAGATTCACTTGCTGAAATTCAACCTTTCTTGTTATTGTTTTTGATAGAGGTATCACCAATGGGACTCAATAAAGCCCATGAATAGTGAGATGTTATCCAAGGATGAACAGATATTATAGTGAGACATTAGACCCATAACTGTTCCTATGTGATATTTAAAATTTGTAATTCACACATTGGGCAGGAATGTTCTGCAATTACCTTTACTGGTGGTTTTGTAGGAATGGCATACATCATCTCAGATGCTGTTTATTCTGAGAAGTCAATGTCAGGTGTACAAGGCACCATAAATTACCTCTTCTAGTCACATGGTAGAAAAGTCCCAAAGGGAAAAAACAGATTTCTGGCAGGCTCAGTTTCCTTGTGTTGTTAATGACTTAGTTGCTACTCAATGTTTTAATACTACTGAAATAAAAGTGTTCCTCCAATTCCAGCAAACAGAAATGGCACAAGTTTTTCACTGAACATCGAGAACTCAAAATAATGGGCTGTGCAGAGATAACATATATTGGATTTAAGAATTCACTAATTACAATTATTTGTTGTGAATTCTTTGAATGCTACACATCTAGAAGATTGGGTATATAGGAAGGTGAAAAATAAGTACCATCTCCTGCATTTCCTTAACTAGAAATGAAAAAGGAAAGAACACTCTTTAAGTCACCAAGCACAATGACTAACGTTAACCTTGTAGATACACATAATTCATTGACACAAAGAGTCTTCCTTTGGAATTTCACAGTTTTTCAACAATACACAGCAGTAAATGATACTTCACTTAAATATCCTTAGATACCTGAATATTTCATATATTACTATACTCCTTCATTTTCTTATTTAAAAATATTTCTTATATCTATGATTATAGTTAGTATATATTATTGCTGACCAGATTATTTTAGTTATCTTCAAACAAATATAAACTATTCCCAATATGAAATCTGTGCTAATGTTTTCCAAATGGCAGGGCAATTCTTATGTTAAATTATCCCAAGTTTCTTACACTCACTGAATGGCAAACTATTAATCTTTTAGTTCTGTTTTATCTTTTAGATTTTAGGCTTTAATAACAAGCTACACAATGCCATGTTTAGAGCAACATTCTATTCTCTTAGATTTCATTTTAGATTAAAAAAGCTATTAAGCAAGTCAAAGATATTACCAGACCCAATAACTTTCCATTCTTGTGTCTGTTAAATGTTCTTTTTATTTTTTATTTTTTCTGAGTCTCTCCCTCCTACCTGCAACTGTCCACCCCTTCCTTTATAGTTTTTGGTATCTACACTTGATGTCTCTGCTATTACACTTTCCAATCTCCCAGTCCATGTTACAAAGTACAGGCAATTGGTGTATAGCAAGCAGGAACACACAAAATCTGTCTTTCATAGTCTGGCTTGCTTCACTTAGTGTTAAGTCTTCTATATTCATCCACTTTGTATCAAAGGATTGAATCTCCTCATTTTTTATGACTAAGCAGTATTCCACAGCATATGTATGCCACATAATTACAATATTATTTCAATCCAGCCATCTGTTCTTGGGCACTTAGGTTAATTCCATGTCTTAGCAATTGTGAATAGTGCTGCAACAAACATGAATGTGTGAGTGTCTTTTTTTTTTTTTTTTAAGAGAGAGAGATTTTTTTGCTATAGGGCACATGCATGCACCAGAAAGACAGAGAGATAGAAAGCGAGAAATCACCCCCAGGGGGGATGGCCACGTCGCAATCCCTTCTCCTCCATTCTCCTCTCAGGATTTTGGGCACGCACGCACGTGTACCCGGTGTAAGTTTAAGCCACCAGGTCCAGGACTAGAACCACAGTCGGCTATATGGCAGTTCAGCAACATAGCCATTACACTAACTGCTGGTCCCTGAATGTCTTTCTGATTGAGTATTTTTCTATCCTTACAGTAAATACGACCCTGCAGACAGGGTCCTTTAAAAGTTAAGTTCAGGGACACAGATACAAATTATCAGGCTTTCATTGTCTGCCAGTCAGTGAGTTCTTTGGAATGCAACTTCTAAAAATTAGTCAAAGGAGAATAATAAACTCTACGACATTCATAAAAATGGCCCACTATAATAATATGTATAATTTCAAAATGCTAAGAAATTACCTAAATATCTCAGAGGGTCATATCTAATTGATGGAATATTATGCCATTACAGAAATACTACATATAAAAATTAGCAATAGGAAAAATACTGTTTAATATCAAGAGAGGAAACTGCATAGTATATATATTTTATTACTGCATCTTTGTATAAACACATAATTATAAATATTTTATGCTATTATATAATTAAAAGCAAGAGGGAACTGAAGGAAAAAAGTTAGTAAGTAATGTTGGCTTTCGTTTTGAACAATAGTGTATAGTAATGTGCACTGTAGACAATTAAGTGAAAATTCATTCTTTAGTATTTGTGACTCAAAAACTGATAGATTTTCTTTTTCTTACAGATAACAACATTACAGGAGAGCTTGTACAGGTTGCCTTATTGTTCCTAGAGTTATGAATGATATAGACATTTTGTATGAACAAAAGGTAATTAGAGCAATCCTCCCTATTTTATTTACTTTTGGCTTTTTGAAGAATAAAATAGTAAAATATTCCATGTGGTTTTCGAAATGTGTATAAAGATTAGAAAAATCGATCTGTAAGAAACCGTCCTTAAATTTAGAAAATAGTTACCTTCCTTAATTGCCAAAAAAAAACCCCAGTATTTAAACTGAGCATGTAGTAAAACCTATAAACTGCTGAAAGAAATACAGATTTATGAGATGTACAGTAGATCCTCAAGTTTCATGTTTCATTTCTGTTATATTGATCTAAGTGCATTCTTATTTGAACTTTTATATATTAGAAAACATATCTTCCATTATTGCTCTAAATAATACCCTTGAAATTCATTTTCACAAACAGAATATGTACTTAAAATATATCAGTTATTTATAATGTCAGTTATTAACAAAGTTTTCTCAGAAACCATTAGGCAAAATATGTCTTAAAATATATCTCCCTTCTTTGATTTGTGAACTTTAAATTGATATCACAATATTATAACTGTAAAATACTGGAGAATCTTGTAAAATCTATATCAGTTTCTCATTTCCAAGAGAAGTTCCACTTAAGCTCCACTCACCAATAAATCTCAGACACTTATTGAGACAACTTTCTGAAAGAAACATAAAACTTACACCATTTCTAATACAAAACTTCACTTAACCTATAAAGATGTTTTAAAGACTTAACTACTATGAGTTATTGAATAAATAGATACACATAATAGAAAATTATAATCTAAATCTATTACACACAATTCATCCCAAAAGATACAAATTTAAAAGTAAAGGCATGACAAAGCCATCACCCAGAAGCTGACACCTTTAAAAGAGTAACATTCAGCTACTGTTAGCATTCTTGAGCAAGAATGTTCTTTCCACCCCAGTTCCTATTTTATTTCTTGGCATGGATCCACTTTAATCAATAACTGTTAACTAAAACCAGAACAAATTAAAGATAATAAAGGAGTTTGTTAGTAGATCACTGCCAGGAATATACTGCACCCAAAAATAAAGGTTGCTTGGGGCAAAGTACAGTGTCCTTCTTCCCCACAATAATGTGTGGGGAATTAAATTAAAAAAAAAAAAAAAAGATGAAGAAGAAGAAAGAAAAAAGGAAGAATGAAAATAACAGTTGCAGTATTGGTGGACATCGATGCAACTGAGGTATATACAGACAGCCACAGGAAAAGCAAACATGATAATAAAGCAGAGAAAGAAAAGCCATATCAAGAAACAAAACAGCAACTAACCCACCTGCTCCAGGAACAAACTGTAACTAGACAACAAAGCCTCTACAATAATCAAGAAAACCAAAATGAGAGACAAGATACATACTGGAGTGCAGATTGAAAAGGGCATAAAGAGTTAGTGTCTTACAGTAATGATGGTTGGTGACAATGCAACATACACGTCAAAATAAAAGAACGGATCTTGAATATGCACATCACTAAAGAAGGATAAATGTTTGAGATGGTAGATAAATTAATTATCTTGACTTGACCATTACACAATGACCATTACACATTCTGGAAAACCACACTGTACTCCATAAATTTCTTTAACTATTGGTTTGTTGGAAAAGTTATGACACGTTTTTGCATAGGAAAATCTTTTTAAAATACGTCAAGACTTTTCCAACAACCCAATATTAGATGTAAATCAGAAATTATGCTAAAAAAAATATGATACACAAAGTAGAACTGAAAAACGGACCTACACGTCCCTACCTGACAATCCCACCATATCATTCTATATCAGTGGTAAAATTAAAATCCATACCTGTGTTTAAATAGATAATTTTGTTTAACTTACTATCTCAAAAATTCAGTTACAACATTTTTTTACACATGCCCTCACCAGAGAAAGACAGAGAGAGAGAATGCAGGAGGAGAAGGTACCCCACCCCGCCCCACCCTGCCCCATGGGGAATGGTCACACTGCAATCAATATTCCAACACTCCCTTCCAACACTCCCTCCTTTGGGGATTTTAGGTATGCATACAGATAAGCCTTATATGTTTCTCAAGTCACCAGATTCAGAACTTAAACCAAGTAGTAGTCCGCCATCTGGAATTCAGCTGCCTTAACCAACAGGCCATGAAGTCAGCCTGTGGAGACACGTTAAAGAAGGAGAGTCTGAGGTGTGGGGACATGCTCTGAGCAAACACCACATGCTCTTTTGGGGTTTGGCAGAACATTGTAACTTGTCTTTCCTTGACCTTGGCTGCAGACAGAGCAAGGGTGGAAATTACTAGGGGTGTTCCAACAGACACATCTGATGGACTTCAAGAAACATCTTGACCCCAATTAGTAAAATCCAATCCCTGCTCTGCATCTGAAAGGTTCTTTAGACTTCTCTGGGTGTGGTGGTGCACTCCTTATTGAGAAGTTTTTTAGCTCCTTCCCCACACCTAACAGCTAGTTTTCTGCATTAGAAAAGAAGAGATTTTCTCGATGGGATTATCACCAAGGGATACACCTGGCCCTGGTATGACTAATCTCTTATAGACTTGTTAACTGCTTCTTATTGTCTGTAACCTGACAACCAATCTATGAAGTATCATGAAACATACATGTGTAATGTCTCCTTGTACTATAAATAAAGACGTCCAGTTCGTCTGGGCGGGACAAGTTGCTTGGGCTACCTAGGCTCAGGCTGCCTGTGTCCATTTCTACTCTATCCCTTTGTCTCATTTTTTCCAATCCCCAGGCCTTGGCAAGATGGAGGGCTTTCTCTTTCTCGTCCTCTTTCTCTTCCTCACCAGCAGCCCCCTGATCATGATTAAGCCAGACCCAAGCCCTGGGGCTGACGCCGACATCAGCCCAGTTACAATTATTTTGTAGTAGAATTACACTTTAATCAAGAAAATTATTGTTAGGCCAGCTTGTGGCCTGGTGTCTATGTGAGCTGGATCCATCCCACATGGCCTACCGAGCAACCTGAAAAACACTCCAGGTCCACATGTACATGTGCCCAAGATCTTGAGGAGAAGAAGTGGAGCAGAAAAGATTTCAGGCTAACCATTCCTCATGGTGGTTGGAGGGAGGGTGCTTTTTCACTTTCCCTCTTACACTTTCTCTCTCCAGTGAATGCATGCATCCCTGACAAAGGTTTTTTAATTCACTTTAAATAAATAGTCTCAAGTATCATTTAAAAATCTGATTATTAGCCAAAATATGGAAAATACAAGAAGTTAACAGAGACTACTGAGATTTACCTAGAAGACCCAAATTCCATTTTTAGATTTACAAAAAGAATAGGAAAAAAAATATATAATCTAAAACACAAAAAAACATTTTCAATAGGAAAGAAAAGAAAAACCCTTCTTCAGATTGTAAGAGTCAACGAGAATTCTTTTTTTTTCCCCAAGGAGTACATTTAAATATTTTTCATTTTAAAAATCTATATCAATAACTAAAATCATAAATTAAAATACATTGTAAATTTTTTGAAATGCCAACAAATAAAGGAAAAAAACCTTAAAAGTTTCCAAAGGGGAAATAAAAGATGTCCCACAAATGAATGAAAATTGTTATTAAAATTTTCTTATACAACACTAAGTGCTACAAGAAATATCAAGGAAAATATTATTTAGACTTTTACATCTAGGACACTTTAGTACACTTTTAGACAGTGCAAAGACTGAAAAAGTTCACATACCAAACTTATTTGGAAAAAATTACTAAAGGTTATTTTCCAAAGGTTAAGAAAATAAGTTTTATGTTACGTGTACTTTACCTCAATTAAAAAAGGGGGGTGTGGTGGGAGAGTATGGGACACAACAAAGATTTGTAAACAGAGAGGACAACAGATTTAACTTCAAATAATTTTAGGAAAGTTTTTAAGAGTGTAAGACCTTGGAGATTTCACACACACTTTATTTTCTACTTTTTAGCCTTTGTTATTATGAAAGGTAACACACATGTAGAGAAGTACTGAGAGAAAAAATGTGAGATTAATAAATTATTGTAAATAATCACTACGGACACAGCCCTCTATATGGAGGACTGTCTCCTTTGTACCGTTTCCTAATCAGCAGCCCCAATCTCTTCCCTGTAGTATCTACCACCTGACATTTATAAGAATAATGTTTTGGCTTACTGTATCTTGTAATTTTACCAATTAAACTTAACGTCCTGAACAATATAGGGTAGTTTTGACTATTTTTGAACTTTAGCTAAATGGAATCTAGCAATATGTAATCTTTTGTGTCTGGCTTCTTTCACTTAACATTAATGTCTGTGGAGAGACAAACATGCTTATTGAGACAGGAGTGGCTGAGCACTATCTCAACTTCCGCACGTTTCTAGCACTGGTATTTAACATCTCCAGGTTGTTGGCTTCTGGTTATAAGATGTTTTCTGTGCTAGCAAGACCACTTTCTGCCCACAATCCCTTTGCTACACTCTTGATCAAATGCATGCCCATTATTATCAAACTCCCTAAAAATGAATAGCAACAAAGAGTTCAATCCATTCTGTGTTCAGTCATACTCCTTCTCCAGGTACACCTCTCCATCTGATGCCAAGTGTGCCAGCTGAATATTTTCTCCTTCTTCCAAGCCAAAGAACTGCATACAGCCTCAACTTCTCATAAGGCCACCAAGTGTTATCAATAGTAAGTAACTCCCTTTGCAGGCACGTTCTGATGTAATTTGTCTTTGCAAGCAAGGCTACTCTTATAACCACACAGTACATATGATAGCCAGTGCCAAAGATTCTGTCAGGTATATCCTCCTAATGTCCTTATAAGACACGAGATGACAAGTCCTGATAAAACATGAAATTGACAGGGGGTGTGATCCTTCTCCTGAAGAGCAAACTACAGCATATTCAGTACTGACCTATCTGAGGCAACTGTCTGTGTGATGCCACGACTGTGCATTCTGCACATGTAGCTGATAAATCAACATTGATAAGATATTCTTGCCAAAAATTGCTTACCTGAATCTAATAATAACAATTAGACAAATCCAAACTGAAAAGCCTGCAAAACAACTGGTCTAGATTCTTCAAAAATATCAAAATTATACAAGAAAAAGAAGACAAGGGACTATACTAGAATAAATTAAAGGAGCTTAACAAAGTAATATGTAATTCTTGAAGTGAGCACTATTATGAAGTGCTACGCTGTCTGTAACACACACTCAGAGTTCCTGGGGAAAGAGAAACACAAAAGGCAGCAAAATGTTAATATTGAGAGTAAAATAGTAGAATTCAAAATGGTCATATAATACAAATCAAAGGCTAGGATCACTAATTAAAGTTTCAAAACTAGCCATCACAATTTTTTTCTCATACGAAAAAAAATTTCCTCAAATGTTCATTTTTCTCTTTCCATCACACAAAAGTGTTAAATATGACTGCTAAATGAAAACTCACTCTAAATAAATACTTACGAGAGCAGGTGGCAGTTTGCCACTCTAGACACTGTCCATATGGAAAAGAGATTATGTAAGCATTAGAATCGACACATCGCTTCGTACTGCTGCACCACATACACTCCATGCCGTTGCTTGTACAGTTGGAGCACGATGTCCTTAGAGAACATGGCTTTTTGCATGGTCTTGCATTTTGATTTGGACTAACTGGAAGAAATAAACACACACAATTATTTCATGCGTTTACTGCCTTTTAACACAAGTGTGTGAGCTTCATTTATTTTGCTGTTTAGGGAGTGTTTCAATTAAACAAAGTGTGGCATTGTGTAGGATGTGGTAAATGAAAATAAAGATGACATGTCAATACTTCTTAAATTTATTATTAAATTTTAAAATTTATAATTCCTATGAAATTAGCATATAAAGTTGATTATGTTTAAATGACAAACAGTAACATAATCTGTAACCTAGTTTTTCACCTATTAATTGAATAAACTAGCATTAGTTACTTCACCAGCTATGTTTATTTCCCATAAATAAAAGCAAAAATCCTAGCAGTGAAAATGTCTCTAAAATAAACAAAGAATGAAAATACACTGTACTACAAAATCTGTATATAAAATACAATATTTATCATACACACTACTGTGGCTGTATTTATTTAATTAAAAAAAGAAAGGAGGAACCAGCAGTTAGCGTAACGGCTATGTCGCTGGACTCCCATGTAGTCGACCGCGGTTCGTGTCCCGGACCCGGTGGCTTAAAACTCACGCCGGGCGCGTGTGCGTGCGTGCCCAAGATCCCGAGAGGAGAATGGAGGAGAAGGGATTGCGGCGTGACCATCCCCCCTGGGGGGTGATTTCTCGCTTTCTGTCTCTATGTCTCTCTCTGTATGTCTGGCGAGCGCACGTGCCCTATAGTGAAAATCTCTCAAAAAAAAAAAAAAAAAAAAAAAGAAAGGAAAAATATTTTCTAGGATATAAAGATACTAGAACCCTTGTCTATTGCCAGTAGGAATGTAAAATGATGCCTCTTATATGGAAAACAGTATAGCAATTTCTAAAACTATCAGACATATGATTTAGCAATTCCACTTCTGACTATATACACAAAAGAAGTAAATGTCGTAATTTGAACTATATTGTACACCCACATTTACAGCAGCATTACCGACAAGAGCCAAAATGTGGAAGTGGTCCATGTGTCCATTAATGAATGAATGGGTAAACTAAATATACTGTCTGTGTATGTATGTATATATAGAGATATCTATCTATATAAATATATATAGGTATATATAGATATAGGGATATTATTCAGCCTTAAAAATGAAGGAATTGTGATGCATATTATGAAGTGGATGAACCTTGAAGACATAGTAAGTAAGATAAACCAGTGACAAAAGAACATATGTAATATGATTTCACTATAGGAGGTACCTGAGGTAGTCAAGTTCCATAGAAAGAACTTGGTCATCAGGGGCTAAGGGACCGGGGAAAGAGGAAGTTATCATTTCATAGGCATGGAGAAGAAGCTTCAAAATGAAGAAGCTTCTGGTGATGGTGGTGATGACCATACCACAGTGTGACTGTAATCTTTCATTTTTACAATTTAAACTTTAAAAATTGTTAAAATGAAAAAAATCAAATAGTTAAAAAGAAAAGAATTCAATATTCTTTCTCAGTTAATAAAAATCCATTTCCAGAAGATATAATAGAAATGTCACTTTACTAGACAACTGAAATAATGGATCTACAAGATTAAAAGATTTAGTCATTAATTTTAAAGATGAATTTTTCTCTCAAGCACTATTACAAAAATAAAAGCCATGAATAAATAGACTATTACTAAACTAACGACAACCATTTGTTCATCATCTTATTGTTACAACTAAGAAAAAAAGATAGTATCAAACAATAAAATTTTTGAAGGTGGCCATGAAAGGACATCCATCTTGACTTCCCTCTGGCAAGAAAGTTCTAAAAGTTTAATAGATGAATGCGCGTGGAGCAAAGTAATGAGCTGAGACCAATGGCAAGCAGGAGCAGGATAGTGGTGAGTTTTTGGAGCACTGAGTCTGAAGTGTAAGAAAGTAAAAAGAGGTCAATTGTCTGAACTCAGAATGGAACAAGAGACACTGAAGCCTCCCATTATGAGGATAAGAGAGGAAGGACGCCCCACCAAAGCTTCCAATTGTTGGTGTCTTGTTTCCAACCTCAAATATTTCATACAAAGCAAACAGCTTCCTCTATCTCCAAGAACTGCACACAATGGTTTACTAAGCAACTAGCCACCCTGTGTCACAATGTTTCAACCCACACCTACATCCTTCCTGTGTGCAACATATCCAAAGTAGAAACCAACACTTATTCTTAGCTGAAATTTTCACTTGGTTATCTCCCCCAGATGAAAAGCATGCTCCCTACACAGGATCAGAAAACACAGATAACCATACTACAGGGCAGTAGTTGCCATCAGTTCAAGGGAACTCACCCTCTCTACAAGTAGAACACAGTGTACAATTAGAACTTCATCTAGAACCAAAAACAGCTGGCCCAGGGCTACTCCCACTAGTGTCTAAAAATGCGCATAGTCTTCAATCAATAAAGATTCATTTTAATAAATAAATGAGTAAATAACATACTGCCACTAAAGAAACCTAAGTAAGAAATTAGGCAGAAGTAAATACTTCATAAGATGCCAAAAAATAATACAGGGATACAAGAATCATTCATTTAAAAAAAGGAAGTCTTTCTCTGAAAGAACACACTAACTACACACTAGTAATACATAGATTTCAGGAATTCACAGTTATGTGAGGAATGAATTTTAAAATATTCAATGATAAAAAAAAATTAATTGAGATACAAGAGAACACAGACAAGGAATTTCACTAGATGAGACAAGCAAGGCTGATATGGGAGACAGAATCAATAGACAGATAAACATCTTTAAAAAGAATCAAACAAATCCTGGAGATAAAGAATACATTAGAGAAAATAAAAAATAAAGAATTCTGTGATAGCATGAAGAAGAAAAAATACGTGAACTAGAAGATACAGCTTTTTAAATGGTCCAAACTACCAAACAGAAAGAAGAAAATAACCATTAGAAATAAAGAAAATATGGGACCAGTAGATACTGTAATGGTTACATCAAAGGACCCCCACATAGTCGACTGCAGTTCTAGTCCCGAACCTAACAGGTTCAAACTCACACGGAGCACATGTACGTGAGTGCCCAAAATCTCAAGAGGAGAATGGAGGAGAAGGGAATGCAGCATGGCCACCCACCCTGGACAATGTGTCACTTTCTGTCTCTCTGTCCCGACTGTATCTCCAGTGAGCACACATGTCCTATAGCAAAAACCTCTCCTAAAAAAAAAAAAAGAAGAGACTATACATGAGATACGTACACTTTTCAAAGACCAAATATACTCATGATAGCTATACCAGAGGCAAAAAATATGGGAAAAGGCATAATAAATGTTTCATGAAATATTGGTTGAAAACATCCCAAAAATACTGAAAGATAAAGACATCCAGGGAATTCAAAGGATATGAAACAGATTCTACATTAAGATCTTCTTCAAGGTACATTATAGCCAAAATGTCAAGAGTCAAAGAGAAAGAGAAAAATTCTAAAAATGGCTAGAGATAAGGGTCAAGTTACCTATAAAAGATATTCAGTCAGACTAACCTTGAACCTCTCAGCACAGACCTTTACATGCCAGGAGAGAATGGGACAATATACTCAAAACTATGAAAGAAAAACAGTTGAACCAAGAATACTATATCCAGCAAAACTTTACTTCAAATATGAAAAAATAAAACCATTCCCAGACAAACAAAAACTAAAGAAATTCAACAATACTAGATTGGCTCTTCAAGATATACAGCCATACGAAGAAGAAAGAAATGACTCAAATCCTTCCACTATGGAGATCTAACAAATACAAAAGACAATAAGAGAAGTAAGAGAAAAAGGAAAACACACAGCAATCGGGAACCAACTGACAAAATGGCAGCTTTAAATTTTTATATATCAATAATATTATTAAATATAAATTGATTAAATTATCCAATCAAAAGATACAAACAGGCTGCATACATAAGAAAACAGAAACCATCACTTGCAAGATGATACTTGCAATAAATACTAGTAACTAAGGCACACACAGACTTACCATTAAGGTCTGGAAACATCTCATGCAAATGAAAAAAAATAAAAGCAGGTATAGCTATACTAATATCAGACAAAATAGACTTCAAGATAAAATCTGTGAAAGGAGATGGGGGAGGGTCATGTTAAAGAGATCTACTGAGCCAACAGGTGGCATTATGGTTAAGGTGATGGACTCCCATAGGGGTGACCAAGGTTCAAGTCCTGTACGTGGAGGCTTGCTTTCTCATTCCCTCCCGCTTTCTCTCTCTTTCTGCCTCTCTCTGGTAAACTAGTGTACTCTGTAATAAATTTTAAAATAAAATAATAATAAATAAAAATACATAAATAATTCTTTAAAATATTTTTAAATAAAGAGATCTACTCACAAAATATATATATACATATATATGTATATATATAACAACTATAAATATATATACAGTGAATATTGGGGATCCAAATATATGAAGACCATTCAACTTTAAGGGAGAAATAGATGTTAACACATTAATTGTTGGGGACATCAATATCCCACGCTCACCATTGGCTAGATCCTCTAAACAAAAAATAAACAGAGACATGGGAAATAAATAATGCTATAAACCAAATGGACCTGAAAGACATTTATAGAACCTTTCATCCAACAAAAATAGAATACACTTTTTGGCAGCATATGGACCATTTTCTAAGAATGACCACATAATAGGGCATAAAACAAGCTTTTACAAATTTAAAAGAATAGAAGTCATATCTAGTATTATTTCTGACCATAAAGGAATTAAACTTGAAATCAACAACAAAAAGAACTCTCAAGAACATACAGATAGTGAAAACTTAACAACATGCTCCTAAGTGACTGCAAAACTACCAAAGAAATTAAGAATAAAATTTTAAATTTCCTCAAAACAAATGAGAATAAATATACTGAATTCCAAAATCTGTGGAATATAGCAAGGGCAGTATTAAGAAGGAAATTTATAGCAATTAGTGCTCATAAGATTGCAAATAAAAGGAACCAGCAGTTAGCGTAATGGCTATGTCGC